GTAAGACTGAAGAACAAACTTAACTTCCTCCCTGGACCCTTCTCATTCAACTGAGAGCATTCTAAACAAAGAAGGTTTCACAGTAATTTACATGTTCTTTCTTAGGCCTGATCACCCAGGGAATCCGCCCTTTTCAGCACAGAGCTGCACCACCCTGTCATTGTTTCAGGCTTAGGTGGAGCAAGGGAACTAAGGCAACCAAGAAATTAGGAGATTTTCTCCCAGATGATGAGGACTCAGGCTATGTCAAAGCCAAGGAGTGAGGGTTCATCACCCCCTTTTGCTGTAGCCCCTAAAGTCCTTCTTTTGGGGGCCTCCCACGTGATCGTGCCTGTCTTAGATCGTTCCCCCCTTGGGGAATCTTACCTGTCTTTGGCTAACCGACCAAGCTTTGGGGTTCAGTTATGAATGAAGCAGCAGAAGCAGCGCTCCTGCCAGAGAGATAAGCTTCTGTCTCCTTGCTGGCTTACAGTTCCAAAGGCGTTTCCTCAGCCTTAACCTAGGCGGGGGTTACAGCTTCTGATACCAGGCAGGGGGGTTCCCAACAACAGCGTCAGCAGATGCACCTGTAAATCACCCACCACGAAATGGACAAATATGTTGAAAGTCTTCAAAAAAAATTTACTGAGGTCAATAGCAGCCTCTCACAACAACACTAGCTGGTACACTGATACAGATGGGCTTCTAGAACACACGTCTAGCATGGCTAGCCTGTACTACTAAGACCCTGCCCTCCAGAAGATAACTTCAGTTCTGGCTGGTGTGGCTCAATGGATTGAGTGCTGGCCTGCAAACCAAATGGTCACTGGTTCGATTTCCAGTCTAGGACACATGCCTGAGTTGTGGGCCAGGTGTTCAGTGTGGGGTGCACAGGAGACAACCACACACTGATGTTTCTTTCCCTTCCTTCCCCTCTCTAAAAATAAATAAAATCTTTATAAAAAAAAAGAAAGAAAGCTAACTCCACTAAATGGAATCAGAATTCTTTGGCAAAATGCCTACTCCAGAACAAAATATAAAATAAGCCTGGAAATCTCATGCCACAATGTAGTCACAAAGAATGTGCCCCACAAAGAACAGCGGGGCATGCCCAAAGGGCACAGATGCCAGCTTGAAGTGGCTCCCATAGGCCAAATCTGGGACGATTTCAACATCAAAATGATAATAGCAGATTGCAATTCATTGGATAAAATAAGAAACTGAGTCAATTGTAATATCATTGCATTGCATGAAATAATTTGTTAAAGAATGTGATATTGACATAGTCTCAAAGTACCTCCCTACAAAATACTAATAAGTTATAAAGAAGGAAATAATAACTTCATAGCAAAGAAACCTGGCAGATGCCACCTTAAACAAACAAAAAAAGAAAAAGTTAAATTTATTAACTTTAAAATAAAGTTAAATTTGTTCCAGAGCAAATTGAAATTCCATGCATCCTGATGGAATACAATGAAAAAGAATACATCACTTCCATGATACACCTGCCAAAGATTTATAACCTGAATCTAATCAGTAGGAAACACCAGAAAAACTCAAACTGAAGAATCTTCTACAAAATAATAGGCCTAAAATCTTCCAAATATCAAGGTTGTGAAAGTTAAAGACTGAGAATTCATTCTAGGATGAAGGAGACTAAGAGATAAGACTACTAAATGTAATGCATGAATCTTAATCTAAAGATTATTAAATGCTTTTTTAAAGTAAGCAATAAAGAAAGAAGGCTACAGGAGTTGTTCAGGCAAAAGAAAAGGGTAGTAGAGGTAGAACTGGTAAAGTGTCTGTATTTGGAATATATTTTAAACTTAAAATGACAAGACTTTATGTTTTTGTTTTTTTGTCCTAGGCACCTAATCAATAATGGTGCAACTTAAACAGATAGAGAAGACTATGGAAAGTGTGGAATATTGAAGGTAGGAAATAGAGTTCTGTTTTAGACGTTTTTCAGTTATCTATTGCTACATAACACACCACGCCAAACTTTAGTGGCTTAAGATAACAATCATTTATTTGTTCATAATTCTGCAAATTGGGCTGGATTTGGCTTCATGGTTTTTGAATGGTTCATCCTAGGGTCATTCTGGAAACATCTTAAACCTCAACTGGGGCTGGATGATTCCAGATGTCTTCACTCACATGTCTGGTGCCTTCCCTAGCATAAATGTACTAACTGAGAGCTGGCCAGGGCTCTTTATCTCTTCTCGGTAGCTCCAGTAGGGCGGCTGGATCTCTTTACATGGTGGCTCTGGGTTCCCAAGAGATCAAAAATGGAAGCATTCTGTTCATCAAAGTAGGTGACAAAGTCAGCCCAGCTTCAAAGATAGAGGAAATATTCTCCACATCAAGGAGTCACATACATGCACAAGGTACATAATCTTTGTAGATAATCTACCACAAACATGTTAAATTTGAGGGACTCTTTTGGACAGTAAAGGTGGAAATTGGATGCAGGAGTCTGGTGGTCAGGGAAGAATTCTGGACTGGTTATATAAAGGTGGAAGTTATTAGTAAAAAATATTTAAAATCATGGGGCCTCATAAAATCACCTTGAAATGAAGGATTGATAGAAAAGAGAGAAAAGTCCAAGGCTGAGGCTGAGGTGCTGTCACATTTAGAGGTACGACAAGAAGGCAACAGAGAAAACTGAAAGGACTCTGTGAAATAGGAAAGCTAAATTGTATGATGTAGTAAAAGGCAGGGGAAAAAAAGTGTTCCAAGATGGAAGTCTATCTTGTTAAAAGTTCAAGTAAGAAGTGGCTCTTGGGCCCTGACCAGTGTAGTTCATTTGGTTAGGTGTCATTCCCCCCAAAGCAAAGGTCATCATTTTGACTTCGTCAGGGCACATACCCGGGTTGCAGGTTCGGTCCCATCAGGTCACATATGAGAGGCAACCAACTACTGTCTCTTTCCTTCTCTTTCTTCCTCACTTCCCCCGCTCTAAAAATAAATAAAATCTTTCTTTAATGCCTTTTGAACTTGGTTACATGGAGGCTGCTGGTGACTAATAACAGGGATTTAGGTTACTCAAACTGGGCCCCCCAACCCCAGAGGCACTCAACAGTAGGCTAGATTTAAAAGCCACAGGATAAATGTGGTCTATTACAATAAAAGAGCTGCATTAGGGACTAATATAGAACATTTGCATACATTTTCAAAATACTATATTCCAAAAAAGTGTTATGCTCATGGGGTTTTGGGTCACACTGTATCAGCATCACCTCTGGAAAGACTGGAGGAGTTCAGCCACATGGGAATCAACTATGTGTTCATAACCTCTCCCTATTAAAATCTCTGGACATCAAGGCTCAGGCCCACCTCCCTAGTTGGCAATGCTCCACGCATATGGTCACCTATCTTTGCCACAAGAAGTTAGTACTGTCTGCAGTTCCACTGGGAGATGCCAACTGGTCGCTGTGCATGTAGAAGTCTTTGGGACTCTGCCCCATGTACCTCTTACCTTGACCAATTTTAATCTGTATTCTTTTACTACAATAAACTATAGACACAAGTAAAACAACTTTCAGTGAATTCTGTGAGTCCTACCAAACTATCAAATCTGAGGTTGCTTTGAGGGACCCACAAACTTGCCATTGGTAAAGATGCAGAAGTAAGGATGGACTCCCAAACTTTGCACTTTGGGGCCATCATTTTTCTCTATCAACATGCACACATGGATGAAACATTCTCATGAAACATCTGAGAAACATTCATCTAGAACTACACCCTCATAAATTATAATCCACAATATTTATTGATCATCTACTAAGGGGCAAACACTGAGCTGAGTACTAGGAATATATAAGTGAACAACACATAATCCAACTCCTTCTCCCAAGGAGCTCAGACACTGTGCTACAGGACTGCGAAAGAGAAGTGAATGAGACAAGTTCTCTGCCCCATGGAGATGAGTGTGCTGTGTAAATGTGCAGGCAATCTATAGTGGGGTCTGTAAATGTTTACACTGATACAACTTTATCACTTTCACTTGGGTATCATTCCCTCTTAGTTTACCAGGAGGAGTTAAGGATTTTTAGTTTCCCTGGTGAGTAGGGACATGGTTATGTCATTTACTAAGAGGAAATAACAAATGCAGAACCCAGTTATATGGAAAGACAAGTTACTCATCCTGTAAATGGGTGTTTGAGACCCCAGCAGGATGTCCATATGTCAAGTTTAAGAGCCCAGAGGAGGTTCCATCCAGAACTTGGAAGGAAAAGATTGGGGCTATAGGCCCAGATTTGGGAGTCAAAAGTGTAAGGTAGTTAATGCCATGAAAAGGGATGGGATGACTTGCAACTCTGTATCCTGTAGAAAAATGTTAAGTATTGCTAAAAGACGGTATACTATGTAGGGGAACGCCAACATTTAAGGGCCATACAGAGCAAAGCAGGCATGAAAGAAAGCTGACAATGAGAAGCCAGAGAGTTTGGATGACCCCAGCGTGGTGGGATGTAATCCAGTAGGAGGTTCATCAAAGAGAGGTTGCTCAGAGTGCGCCGGAATGAGGTCAACTAGGAAAGACTCAGTCTGTGCCGTGATGAGTCCACCACCCATAGATGTCTTCCAAGACGATTGAGGAAAGCACACTGGTTGGTTTGTTTTCTATTTTGAAGATGAGATGCAGCAGGATCGGAAAGAAATCCTGGTTTCCTCTGGGCAAGAGCTACAGTGAGGAGGGAGTGAAAAGACAACGTTCTTAGCTTTCCTGTGCCTTTAAAAATTTCTTATTGAATGCTAAACTTTGCTTGGGACCCCTGTCTAAGGACCTGTCTTCTCAGTGCACGTCAGAAAGGAAAGAGCAAAAGAAGCCCCGCTTCACTATGCGCAGCGTCTTCAGCCTCAGACCTTCCGCCCGGGAAAGAGCGGCGGGGGGCGGGGGGGGGGGGTGCAGTAGCGCAGCAGAGCCGCCGCCAGGGGGCGCAGTCCCCGAGATTATCTGCGAGACGCGGGGAGGGGCCAGCCACGGGGCGGGGCCAGACGTGGGGCGGGGCCTGGAACAGCTTCCGGCTTCCGGCGGAGCCCAGGGTCTTCGCGAATCGCCGTCATGGCAGCGGAGGAGAAGGACCCTCTGAGCTATTTCGCAGCTTACGGGAGCAGCAGCTCAGGCTCCTCGGATGAGGAGGATAACAGCGAGCCGGAGGAAACGAATCGCAGAGCTCCGGATCCGGCAAAGTCGGCGGGCGTATGTGGGAACAAGACGGAAAAGCGGCTGCCTGGGCCCGACGAACTGTTCCGGAGCGTGACTCGTCCGGCCTTTCTCTATAATCCGCTCAACAAACAGATAGACTGGGAGAGACACGTCGTAAAGGCGCCTGAGGAGGTAAGGTCCCCGACCCCGGTTCTCGATCTGGGTCCCGGCCTCCGCCCCCTTCCTCCTGAGTCGCTTCCTGGGGACCGGAAGTCCGTTCCCACACACGCAGTCACCCCCTGCGGGATGCCGCACCAACCCCTCGCACCTCCAGCCCTGGGGAGCCCGGGCCCCCTCCCCCAGCTTGGTGGGTGTCAGATCAGACCCGCAGCCCCCGCCCAATCGTGAGGAGACCCAAACCTCCGCGCTCGGTGCCCCGACCTGCGTGGCCAGGACTAACGGTGGTGACTCCCCCCGCCCCCCCGCTGCAGCTTCTCCCCGAGACCCCTTCCCTTTGACGCCGAAGTGCCTGCGGTGCTGCCTCCAAGACAGTGTCTGCTGCAGCCTCCTGAAGGGGTCAGCCTTGGCGTAGTATCTCTGAGACTGGATTCTTCTTTGGTAACTAAAAGTTATTAGCTTTATTCATATAGGGAACCCTTTGGCTTTTCACTTAACAGTACTGTGATTTTGATGGAAAAAATGTATCTTTAAAATTAAAAGAAAAGTCATCCTGAACAATAATCGAACGGCAGGGAGGTGCATGTGCCCATACCGATTGATTATAGGAACCTCGGTTCGTCACAGTGCTTCTTAATGTGTTTGCTTAACAGCCGCCAAAGGAATTCAAAGTCTGGAAGTCAAACTATGTTCCACCTCCAGAGACGTACACTACTGAGAAGAAACCTCCTCCTCCAGAGCTGGATATGGCAATAAAATGGTCTAACATATATGAGGACAATGGTGATGATGCCCCACAGAACGTTAAGAAAGCTAGGCTTCTCCCAGAAGGGGAGGAGACGGTGGAATCAGGTAAGAGGAGTCAGACCTTTTGGTCCCTGTGATGAGTTTAAGAAGATTGTGATAATTAATGAATGAAATTTAAATCTAGCAAGTTAGCAGATTGATTATGATGGTCTTGGAATACCTTTTACTGTGTTTTTGAAAAGTAGTATATAGTCAGCTTTAAAACTCATGTCTCAACTAGTAGTAGTTGCTGTGTTTTAGAGAAAGACCATAAATTATTCAGCCTTCAAAGCGAAACCTCTGATATTTTAAGCAGTAGTATATGTGATTTATGAACAGTACGAGCTAATTTATGGATTCTTTTCTTGTGACTGCAGCTGCGAAGGCTTTATTTTACAGTAAAGCATTTGTGCTTCAGAGCCAAAAGTAGTGTGACAAAATGAATTTAACTGAGTTACTACTATGTAGTAATTAAAAATGGTAATAGAAAAAGGTAATGACTTGGTTGTCTTGCCTTCGTTTGTAATATAATTTTATCTCTTACTTGGACTATAAGTAATCACAGCAATCTCTGCTTCTGCAGTTTTATCCCCCAATTCCATCCTTCACACTGCAGCTAATGTTCACTTTCTAAAAATCATACATGACTATGTAACCCACCTGCTTAACATCCTTCATCAACAGCATAGAGGCAAAGCCTTCCATGAGAGGCTGTGCCTTTCTCTCCACTCTCATTTCACATGGCCTCCTTTCTAGCACTTTAACATCTTAAAATTCAAAACTGAATAGACCATGCTATTTTATAGTTCCATGCCTTTCAATATATCTTGCACCTTAGTCTGGAATATTCCTCCCTTCCTCTTTGGCTGATAAACTCACTTATCCTTCAAAATCCAACTCAAAGAGGAAAATCTCAGATACCACCTCCCTCTAGTTATTTCCTCCTCTGTACCATTTTGTTAAACAGATTTCTGATCTTCCCATAATACAAGGGCAACCTACTTAGCTTCTTTTGCAACCATGCAGACTTCTGTTTGTTTAGAGAAAGGGTAACTAAGTGGTAGTTCTTATTCCAAATGGCTTTTTCATTTCTTTCATTTATTTCCCAAGGTGGATTAGAATTCACTAATTAAGGCACATCTTCAGTAAATGGCATCTTTTGGAAGGTACCAAACAAACGGGGCATTTGAAATACCTCATATTGCATGGGACTTTGTGTAATTAATTAAAAAAAAAAACACTTTCACAGCCCTGGCTGGCATAGCTCAGTGGATTGAGCGTGGGTTGGGAACCAAAGTGTTCCAGGTTCGATTCCCAGCCAGGGTACATGCCTGGGTTGTAGGCCATAACCCCCAGCAACCGCATATTAATGTTTCTCTCTCTATCTCTATCTCTCTCTCTTCCCTCTCTAAAAATAAATAAAATCTTTAAAAAAAACCACTTTCACATAACTACTCTTTAATCCTTTCAACACCTTGTGAAAAACGTGAAAATGAGAACTTGTGTGACTTGTCTAGCATTACAGAATGGCAAGCTCTAAGATAGGTGTCTTCACAAATTCAGGTCTTTAAATGGGACTGATGCATTCATTATTAAACTGGAATTTAGTCTCTTGATGTTTTTCTAGCTAGAGCGCTTGAGAAATATTCTGTGAGAAGAATGGCACTAAGGCCACTAGAGTTGATATTCTAACTAGGATGCCATAGGCAACTAGTCCTTTGGTCCTCTGTGGAAAAGTTGAGGATTATATATCCAGGACAGATGAGTGGAAAGAATTATCTTTTTTCCCCCAGCTTGCCTATTGCGTTCAGATAGAAGGAATTCCAAATATGTGGCAAACAGTACTGTTACTGCCATAGATGATTTCTGACCTTTTGATCACAAGGCATGTTGGTGATATTAAAAAACAAAAGGACCAATTTAAAGCTGGATTACAAGGTTAAAAAATAATCCTGAAATCTTAAGTTTTGACTTTAATGTTGGTTATTGAATATATCTTCTTTCTGTGATACATATCTTCCTTTTTAATTTTTTTTTGCTATCTCAGACTCCTATGCCACTGTAAAATTGATTTTCCTGACATCATTTTTTACTTTTTTAAAATTTCATAAAATATTTTGTATTAGAAACTCCAAACTCTAAGTTATCTAAGTTTTTAAATTATCAAATTACTTTTCTACCCATTTTTCTACATTTTTGCCCTTTTTTGCCAGTTAAACTTCTTCCAGATATTTTAAGAGGAACTGGGAAAGATTCAACACTGATCATTGAGTCTTGCTACTTATTAGCACCTCTTGTTTAGTGGTTGTAAAATGTAGATCAGTGGTCCCTGGCTGGTGTGGCTCAGTGAATTCAGCATCAGCCTGCAATCCCATTCAGTTCCCAGTCAGGGCATATGCCTGGGTTGTGGGCCAGGTCCCCCTGGTGGGGAGCGTATGAGAGGCAACCACACATTGATGCTTCTCTTCCTCTCTTTCTACCTCCCTTTCCCTCTCTCTAAAAATAAGTAAATAAATAAAATCTTAAAAAAAAATGTAGATCAGTGAGCCTGACTTTAATTGTAGCTTTACTAACATGTAATTAATCATGAAAGCTTAGCTAAAGTAGCAAATGCTCTTTTTAATTTAGAAGGTTAATAATTTTAACTTATGTATGTCTAGTGACATGGATTCCATAATAGAAGAATTATTTTCTTGCTGGCACGTCTGTAGTATATGGCACAGAATAGTAAAGTGGGGGGAGTGAACATTTCAGGGTTTTGGAGGGGTTTTTTTTTTCCTGTTCTGGTGCTCAAGGCAATGCCTTGTAATGTCACTAGATGGCATTAGCTCTTCAGTTCAAATCACTTGATAAGAACCTGTTTTTCCAACCTCAGTAATTTGTGTTTTTGTTGTTGTTCAGTAAATATACTTGTAACAAGTGGTAGATTAAAAGCAGAAGTGTCTTGAGATCATCTTTTTAATAGACACTTAACAGTAGATTTTCTAGAAGAGTTAGTAATATTTTTATTTTTTGACTTAATCTTCATTGTATTTTTTCCCATTATCATTTAGACCCCTTATACTCCCTCCCCCAAGCAATCACCACACTGTTGTCCATGTATCCTTTCTCCTTTTTTTCCCCAATCCCTGCACCCCTTACCTCCCCTGCCTCCCAGAGCTGTCAGCCTACTCTCTGAGTCTATCTTCATTTTCTTTGTTAGTTCAGTTTGTTCATTAAAATCCACATATGAGTGAAATCATATGGTAGTTGTCTTTCTCTGACTGGCTTATTTCAACTTAGCATGATGTTCTTCAGGTCCATCCATACTGTTGCAAAGGGTAAGACTTTTTCTTTTTTTACAGTCCAGTAGAGTTCCATTGTGTAAATGTCCCATAGTTGTTTTATCCACTCACCTACTGATGGACTCTTGGGCTGCTCCCATATTTTAGTGATTATAAATGATGCTGCAATGAACATAGGGATGTTTTTGTTCCTTTGAATTGGTGTTTTGGGTTCCTTCAGGTATATTCCCAGAAGTGGAATCGTTGGGTGAAAAGGCAGACCCATTTTTAATTTTTTGAGGTATCTCCATATTGCTTTCCACATGGCTGCACCAGTCTGCATTAAAAGTAATTTTAATCTTTATATGTCTGAAAATAATCTCCAAACTCAAATTGGATAATAAAGTCCAATTAGAAAGCAAAGCCCTTGGTTTATTTGAGCTGTGTGCTATATTAGTTGTAGAGCACATATTTTCGTGTATACATAACAAATGACTGATTAAAACATTGGTTTGTAAATTCCTGAGATGATTTGTTGATGTCAACTGTATTTTATCGTGCTGTCTACATAAATACATAGTGCTTCATGAAATGCATGAATAACGTTTCCATGATGTGTTTGAAGATGGAGATGAATCACTGCTTTTGATACTAATTATTGTCCACCTCAACGAAGGAGATATAGTTAGCAGAAGGAAATTGAAGGCTTAAGGTCTTCAATATATTTCCTCCATAGTTTATGATCTTATATCAGTGGCTTCCCAGATTTTTTAATATGAAGGATTCTTTCAACATCAAAATATTTTGTTTATAGATCACTATGTGATAGTTGAACTAGGAGTATCTGTTGATTGAGACAATAAAGTCAGAAGTATAACGAATTCAGTAATGTTCTTAAGATAATTTTTTATAAATCATGGCATCTTCTACATGTTATTTATTGCATCTGTATGGAATTCTAAAAATGAAGCCACATATTTGTTCCCAGAAATTGAAAATTAGCAGCTGATCTGTACTGCCCTTTGTTTTATTAAAGCATATACTTGGATATTTTAAATTGAATAAAAGGGTCCACCTTTTCATTTTTGGCAACATTTATATTAGAAATTTTCTGTGGCTACAGACATTAATAATATTTTTGAAAACTTTTAAAGGGCATGGTTTTAATATAAGGGTTCTTCTTCATCTTCCCTTTTCAAAATTCTTCTCAATATGACAGGGAAAATGCCTGTTTTCCTGTTACCATTGGAATATGTTCACCCTCCTAGGAATGGAGAGTGAGAGAGGGGAAGTAGAACTAACTATATAGGACAGAACTGAAAATAGAGTTTTGTAAAATATCTACTTGTGAGTGATTTATTTTTTTACTGCAGAATGTAAGGGGTCAAGGGATAAGATGAGAAGGGTAGTTGTTTGGTGGGGAGAGAAAGCAGATTGGAAGGGGAAGAATAGCTGACAGCCACTTAAGTAACAAGGTTGAATTGATATCTTTTTTTGTCGTTGAAAAATAAGACAATGTGTTCCATTTGTACAAAGTGTAGGTTATATGTCTAAATATACATAATGTGTACACTATAGAATACACGGGAATAGCTTTTTCAGAACAAATTTGATTTTCTTATTTTAAGCTACCTCAATATAGCACTAAAGGGTCTGTGAATTTTGTATTTCACAGTTGGAGAAAATTCCTTATTTTTACTTGCACTTTAAAATCAGCTCTAAGAATTAATTTTTGGTTTTTACTGGGAAACTTTGAAAGAAACATTAGTATTTTAATGCCCAACCTTTTGAAAATTACTGATTGAAACTCTTCCTTTTCTGTTTAAAGATGAAGAAAAAGATGAGCATACTTCTAAAAAGCGCAGAGTAGAACCAGGAGAACCAACAAAGAAGAAAAAATAGGAAACAACAAATAACAAGAAATTTCGGACTACAAATCTCATCAGAATGGTTTTTTGGCAGATAAGTTGATACTGTAAATTATTATGAAACATCATCTTCATGAAAGTACATGGATAAACTAATAAGTATTACTGCAGGAACTTTCCACTGTAGAATTCACTTTTTATTTAAAATTTGTATGTATTTAAAACTCAAATGGTGACTTGTGATTGTGAAGTTGACAACACTTGGAAGCATTCTTGCTGTCACAAAGTTGGTGGCATGCTTTGAGAGTTCTGTCACATGTTGACATGCCAGTGTTCTAGGAACCTTTTATAAAGGAATATATTTTTAAAGTAAATATATTGTATCATACTGTGAACTTGTAGGGTGCTCTTCAACATTGTTTGTACAGTGTAAATAGATCATGGAAATAAAAGTACTTATTCAATATTACTATTACCACATAACATTAACATTTGAATATCTGTGACAAATTCCCTGTTTGCCATGTGATGTTAATAGTAGGTGTTAGCATTTAGGGAGTGCTTCCTGTGTTCCAGGTGCTTCGTGCGTACTTATCTGTGACCCACAAGCAGCCTAGTAAAGCATGTATTAGTAGCCTTGTTTTATAATGAAGAGTGGTTAATTTATGCAGGGTTACACGGCTAGTGAGCAGTGAATTTGGTTTTCAACTCATGATACTTGAACTCTAAAATTGTTACACTATACCACCTGTCCGCCAATCAAAATTTAGGAACTGCAATTGGCAGCTCTTCCAGGTACTCCTTCGTGGTAGTTACTAGAGATCCTCTCCTCAGGTGGTTGTGTTACTGCACTTATCATACACATACACCTTATATTATGAAAATTTGTCAGTTTCCCTGTTAAATAATAAGTTTGCTGAAGATGAGAATCTTGCACAAAGAGTTGCCAGATGTCTCAAATAAAAATACAGGACATGCAGTTAAATTTGAATTTTAGATAAGCATTAAATAATGTTTTAATATAGGTAATATTTAGGACCTATTTATACTAAAAATGTATCAGAAATTCAAATTTAACTGGGCATCTGATATATGTATCTGCCAAGCCTGCTTCTGTGTGTTTGCTACCCAGCTCCAATTTTAATGCTTTGCATATAGTAATAATCAAGAAAATCAACAAAGTTGTAGTCAGGAAGATAATATGTGATTTGACATCTACAGTCCAAAATTCAGTGCTGCTATTTGTGATGTTTTGAACAATAAAAAGAAATACACTACATCATCAGTCTTTCCATGATCATTATGCCTCGAAGAAACAAGTGTTAATTACAGGACACTGTGCATTTAGTGTGTGAGAAAAAGACTTTAGTTTTTGAGTTTTAAAAATTCCCCAGTCCAGGTAAGGGGAAAAAAGAAGAAAAAGAAATTCCCCAGTCCAGTTGTTTTCCCCCATACTGGAAGCCACATTTGAAAAACTGTACAATTTGTTGTACAGTTGTACAACATGGGAACATGATCAAGTATATTAAAATTTGTAAGTCATTAAAAAATATGCCAGCCATGATGTTTTGTGGAATAAGGAAGGAACACAACAATATGATGGTTGCTAATATATCTCAAAATTACAAAGACCAGTTTTACAGCTGCTTATCTTCTAGGTTTACAAATGTATGAATCCCCAAGCTGAAGAAATTGATAAAGCAAGAAACTTTGTTTAAGGTTGAAGTCTTTGTATGTGAGTAATTTTGAGGACTATCCTATTATATATTGAGGAGTGTCATCAACTGGTAACGCATAACCCCAGTGTGACACCGAATTAAATTAACAGGTGGAATAATTATGAGGCGAAATCCATAGTCTGTAGTCACGTATTAGTGGAGCAGATATCTCAGAAGGTACTGAAATGTTACAAGGTGAAAAAATTAGAATGAAAGCAAACCATAACCCCACAAGAAAAGCCCAGCAAGCCACTGTCTGGAAATCTTTTTAACCTCTGCTCAACTCACAACCCATTAGTTTAAGACAGAGAAGCAAAGGTCACTACATCAGTCCCCAGTGGTGCTTTGAGCCTCCTTTCTAGAAGGTAACAGAGTGGAGGGGAAGCATACTTTTTTTTGGAGGGGTTACATGTTCTGATGTTTTACTCAGGACAGGTAGTGGCTACACTTGTGAGACTATTAAGCAACTGCTAGGAGTTGTGCACCTGTGAAATACAGGTCAGGCTAGTTCTAATTTGGGAGGGGGAAGTGAGGGTTTAAGGAAGGAGGCTAAATATTTTGGAGCAGTCTCAGCCATTTGTATCTTGAGTTCTTTTCAAAATATGGCCAATTAATGGAAAAAAATTAATTTGTCTATGTATTGCTTCACCTTGCACAGAAACATCTCTGGAAAGTGGACTATGTCACTTTCTACATTTGTCACCATATTAGAGAATGGATTCTTTTCCCCTTCACAGGTTTCTTGGGAACATGTTTGTTTAGCTGTCCATGTGGGTACTGAGGTAAGGGACTGTTTGGTTCAGCTAGTGGAAATCAAGTAAAGCATCTTACAAAAATCCATATAGATGAGGAAAATCCTCTTATCCAATTGCTTGTTAGAGAATCAAATCACTTAGTATTTCTGATTATTTCCTCATCTCTACGATAAGGAAGTTGTGTCAGTCATGAAGGACTTTCTTTTGTACAAGGATAAAATTAGAGAAAATTTTTCTGAGAAAATAAGCAATTAAGTATAAATAGCCTTATAGGGTTTTATGGAAAACATTCTAATTGGAATCAAAGAGCATTATTGAGAAAATTGACACTGCTTTTTAGCCATTAAAATACTAATACTGACTTATTTGCAAACTTGAAACTTACTGATTTTAATGTATGATGCTTTTGAGTTCACAGAGCTCAGTCCCATAGTATTTTTTAAAAATGGAATGAGGTAAGTTTTAATCATTTCCAAATGAGAGAATGGATAATTAAAATATGAATGACTAGCACAGGTTTGGACATGACCTACATATAAAAAAACATGTTGTCACATGATTAAGTTAAATACAAGCCCTACCAGAGATACTTGACACGTGGTTATTTTTACAGGTATCTGAATGACCTTAGCAACTCAATTCAATAAATCGAAACTGACCAATTTAAATCGACAATTGGACTTGAAGGTGTATTATTGGTGGTATTTTGGATTTTAGAGTCTTGTATCCATACAGAACTGCTCCTGTTTTAACCCTCCGGGATCACTTAGTACAGAAGTTCCAAACAGTCCTACAAAGAGGTGTTAAGTTCCCAGCAAATGTTTTGGACTCCATTAAATTTCAAAGTTTTCTCTCTTAATCTCTTTCCACTTAGCTTTCCCAATTTGAAACATTGTATTTGCATTTTAATGTGGGGTGGGTGGGGAGAGGAGCTATCAAGAAACATTTGTATGTATGGCCCCCGGAGGTGGGGCTTTTTGCCTGCATTGTTCATTGACAAGAACAATGCCTGGCACATAGTAGGCACTCAAAATGACTGCTGTGTGCATGGTAAGCTGAATTCTTCACCCCCGGCTTAGGGGTGATCCAATAGAGGTTTGTGTTTTCAGTTACATGGGCCAATAAATCTTGACAGTTTAAACCAGTTTGAGTTAAGTTTTCATCATTTTTGTTCAAAAACATTCCAACTGATGTGAAACTTTACTGCTTTGGTTTCTTCCAGGGCTCCATGCTGTTCTGGTTCGCTTTTTATTTTCTCCAGCTCCTTCTCTTGCAACTGTCCTTGAATGCCAATGTAGCTTATGTTGTTGCCTTGTTGTTCTCCACACTGGTTTGTTTATATTTTTCTTTTTTTTTTAAGAGAGAGAAACACCAATTTGTTGTTCTACTTATTTATGCATTTATTGGTTGATTCCTGTATGTTGAGGATTGAACCTGCAACCTTGGTGTATTGGGACGATGTTCTAATTAACTCAGCCACCCAGCGAGGGCCACACTGGTTCTTGATTCCAGCCAAGTTTTAGTCCCAGATTTGCATGTCCAGTTGTATGTTTACCCTTGGGTCTCAAAGGCCCCTCAACATTCCAGCTGTCCAAAGCCAAACACATTGTGCCAAAGCCCCTGTCACCTCCATACTTCATTTCTGGTTAATGGCATCACCACCAGCCTAGGCATTTGCCCTCTGCCTCACTTCCCATCACATGGGTTTGATCTGAAAGCCCTGAAGCTTCTCTCTTACTCTCACACACCTCTATTCCAGCTCTGATAAATTGTTTGCAATTCGCCAGACATGCTATTAGTGTCATAGTTCTCTGCCTTCCCTTACAGTTTGCTTGGCCTAGCTCTTCATTTTACTTAGTGAATCCCCCTTTTATCCTCCAAGAAGCAGTTCAGACTTTGCCTTCCTTATGTACTTTGTTTTATTATCTCTGGATCTGGACCTGTACCTTTCTTTTCGCCATGTTCAGTACTAAACAGATAGCCAGCGTTTACTGTGTACTTGCCATGTGCCAGGCTTGTTCTTGGCGCTGTACATGTGTGAACTCATTTAATTAAATAAGATACGTGCTATTAGTAGCCCTACTTCTCAGGGAAGCAAACTAAGACGCAGAGAAGTTAAGCAATTTGCTCAAGGTGCTAGACCTGGGAAGGGCAGGCCTTCTGGCTCCCAGCCCCATGGGTTTCCTCACTGCACTGGAGGGGAGGAAGGAGCGCCCAGATGAGCCAGTAGACTGATTTATTAATTCTTGTGTTTCATTCAAAGGATGACTTACCCCTAGAAGGTGCTCAGAATATAAATATTTGGATAATTAGTGAATCCAAAACGAGTTCACCAGAGATGCAGAATTTTTTGAACACACCAGAAACATCTTTCAGATAGATTAGGTTGGTGTGAAAGGAAAGTCAGTAAGTAAATGTTTTCAGAGGATTTAATGCACATTTCAATAACTTAGTTGCCTATTTATCACATATTTGGAGTATTTCTATTTGAAAGCCTTAAAGCAACAGGGCTGAAAATATATCCCTGCCCCTCCAAAAATATATTTTAGCTTTTCAATTGTATTTTTAAGCCTACCTTTTTTTAAGCAAATAATGAGATAGCTTTAAGCCACAAATTTCGCCTCAAATTTCATTGGCTTTTCTCTAACATTTCAAATTATGGCTTGAGTCTAAAATCACAGCACCAGGTCATGGGAAGGCCTCCAGAGGTCCCTGGGTGCAGCCTTCCCATAACGTAGGAATGTCTTCTCTGTGATCTTTGCTTCTCTCTTCTAGGCTCACAGACAAGCCTGTGAAATGATGGGTTTACGGGCTGGATTTGAAAAGTCATTTCCTGTATGTCTGTAATATTTTGGTACCCAGGGCCTGGTATTCCTGCTTCTTTCCCTGTGTTTACCATTTTCTGAAAAAGAAGAAACAGGATTTGGTGTCTGTCATTGAAGTAAAGTGCAGCTGTAGTCCTGGTATAATTACCTGTCTTTGTTTCTAAATGGGACCAAATTCTAGCAACCTTCCAAGAACACTGGGGAGTCTGCATTAACGTTCTAAATTTAGAATTCCTGAGAGAAACTGCGAGGAAAAACAATTACTTCCAACTAAGGAGGTGACTTCTCTGCCAGCAAAGCTATAAGCAAGTCAACTCAGACATGACTCCTCTGCGGTTCACATGCCAGGGGGATTTTTAAGGCCCTGTTGTTAGTTTTTGCTGTTTTTCAGTTTGTGCGCGCGTGCACACACACATCTCCTGAGGTTTTAGTAGTCAACAGAACCTTCCTCTCCTCTTTTTACCAGGTTCTGCCTCCAGGCTTTCCCCTCCAGTCCTCTGGCGGAAAGCCTTAACAGTAAAATGTCTTCCTTAACATAGGGAATTCATATGTCAAGTCTGTAAGGCATGAACTCTTGATTTTTTTTTCTTTTAATTGAGGCCCAATAACCTGAGCTCCAAGTACCTGCTACCTCTGTCTCCCTCCATACCAAACTAATCAGGGTAATTACCTGAGCTGTCCACGGCTACAGGTTTCTTAAAGCCTGTTATTGAGGTTAACAAATGAGAGGGTTAATTTCTCTAGAATGCTCCATAGTTGGGGAAGAAAGATAATAAACCCTTACAAAGTAGGTTGCTTTTGAGTTTTCAAGCTTTTGTCTACACCCTGGAGAAGGGCTTACTTTGGGATTCCAGACTGTCTGGAACCCTGAGGTAAGTGACTCAATTCTAAACTGAAGCCCTGGAATTCACTATCACTCATAAAAGAGGCTCCTACAGTCTTGCTGCTTCAACTGTGTAAAATAGATTTTGATGCCCCCTTTTTTTTTTTTTTTTTTTTAAGAAATAGTATTGACAGGTAGTAGCCTCTGGCACCAACTTGAAGATGTTGACATAAAACCTTAAGACAGTAAGTGGCATTTTCTAGATAATTTGGCCAGGGCCCTGTGTATTTTTAACTTATTTACAAGTTGCTGAATTCACCCAGTCACTTTGTCTAATTATAAACTGCTTAGGTTTTTCTATTCTTTTTCACTTTTGTTTTCACTGTAACAGTAGCAAGGCTATCCTGTGTCAGTCTCGCTGGGTAGCTAAACCAGAGTTCCTAATTTAATCTTTTGCCCTGAGGGCTTTTTTCACATCACTCGGCCCAGTGTGGATTATTTTTTTTAAAACCCCAGGGAATTAGTAGAAGGGAAGATTAAATTTTCTTAGCATTACCATAATTTCAACTAATTTTTCCAACAGGAGTTTGTGAAAATGTGACAAACAGCAATGGCGAACAGGTTTCCAACTGCCTCATAGAAGTACCAAAAGTAAAAGAAAAAAATCTTTATGTCACAGGAGCACAAAGAACAAAAACAAATGCTTTCTTTACTACAAATATATTTAGCCTTTTCAAGGACAGGAATAATGTTTACACCAAAAATACAATAATCATTATATTTAAGTCACATGTTTCCATTAATTCTCATAAAATTACGTTAGATATAAATTCTTTTTAATTATATTTTATTGATTATGCTATTATAGTTCTGATTTTTCCCTTTTGTTCCCCTCCACCCAGCACCCCTCACTTCCGCAGGCCACTGTCCCACCATTGTTCATGTCCATGGGTCATAAATTCTTTATCATAGTAATGTTCATTTAACATTTTCTCTGATTATGAAAATGATACATGCTCACTCTAGAAGTTATGAAAAAAAAAAAGAGAGAAGAAACTAAAAAGCAGAAATCGCTTTTGCTCTAGCTGGTGTGGCTCAGTGGATTGAGTGCTGGCCAGCAAACCAAAGGTTTGATTCCCAGTCAGGGCACATGCCTGGGTTGCAGGCCAGGTCCCCAGTTGGGGGCATGCAAGAGGCAACCCATTGATGTATCTCTCACACATCAGTGTTTCTCTCCCTCTCTTCCTCCCTTCCCCTCTCTGTAAAACTAAATAAATAAAATATTTTTAAAAATCACTTTTAGTGCGAAAATCTAGTGTCATTTTAATATACAATTCTTTCCTTAGAGTTTTTTCTATGCATATATGTACATATTCTAAACAAACATCAATTCCATTAAGGGTTCTTCAGAAACCTAATTTTTATTTTTTATCTATTGGACAATAAAACTATCTCCATATTTTCAGCACTTATAAATAAAACTAAGATGAACATCTTCATAATTATTTGGTCGTATTTGATTACAGAACTACTTTTGTGAGGAAGAATTCAAGATGGAGTCATATGTAAAGTTCATCCAGTTTGCTTGATTTATTGCTCCTAACTTGTTGAAACCACATTTAAACAAAGACTTTAAAAATTTTTAAATTATCTCCTTGAAGTCCTAAATATTAAGTCTCTTGCCAGAATCCAGCCCTTTACAACAGCAATTAGACATTTCTAAAATATGTCCTCTTTTTAGCTGTTCTGAAAAAAAAAACATTTCTTTTTCAACTGTCCCCAAAGGCTACTCAGGTTCCGAAAAGCTGCACACTAGTGCTCACATTCAGATCCTGGTTATTCTGCCCACAGCAAAAGGAATCTGTGGCTACTGTGAACTAAACACAAAATTGGAGGAGAAAAGAGGACTGAGGGAAAACAATAATGAAGTAGATGGCATTTTTCCCTCCTGCTTCTGCAAAATTGATCATATTATTGCACTTAGCAGAGAAAAACCTTAGGTGGAGCCAAAGGCTGCTGAAGAAATACCCTGTGCAGTCGGTCAGGCAGGCGTGGCCTCGATGATTCCCCACGGCGACTGGCTGGCCCCACTGCAGGAGGCACCCAGAACTAGCCAACCAAGTAGGGAGAGGGCCTGGGAACAAACCCTCCGAAAAAAGAGGAAAGGAAGAAAATGCCTCCTTATCAGGCTGGTGGAATTGGGGAAATTCCACAAGAGCTCCCAGCAAAGCTTTACAGGAGGGTTGAAAAGCAGACTCCCAAGAGAGGAGCTCCCTGGGAGAAGTAACATTATCCTAGCTCTCATCTTGTCAATCTCTTACACCGTTGCCTCCCTGCAGGGCATATATCTTCTTGTGGGACAAACTCAGGGATCCAGCACAAAGCCATAAAATTAGAAATTGTTCAATAAGTAATTGAGTAAATGAACCAACCCTTAGCATCTTAGAGCAAGTGAGTTTTCAGGTCTTCTCCTGCCAGCCTTTTTTCGATGGGGAC